CAGACAGCACCTGTCTCGATCGCGAGTGGACGGCCGATGGCCCCGCTCGGAGTCCCGATAGGAAGGTGTCGGGGAGGGCGACTCCCACTGAGAGCGCCTGGAAGAGCCATAGCCACTGTCCTCCTCCTCCCACGTAGACCTTGATGGGGTAGCTGCATCTAGGGTCGCAAAAGACACATCCACTGGACACATCAGCTCACCAAGGTGTAACTCCAGAACCACTAGCCAAAAGTCAACTCCCCCAACTCATTTCATTATTCATAAACCTTGTACCTATTTGTAATGTTTAAGATGGTTTTGACAGCTTTCAATCATGTGAATTTAATAAGCCAGTTTTCCCCGCGTTTGTAACACTATTTTAAGGAATATTCAACTTCCTGCAAACATATCCACCTGAAATATAAATGGTTCTTTTTAATACATCTTCAGTGAGCCCCAGCTGTATAGTCTTTCTTGCCAGTAGGGAAACTGCTCATTCAGCAAACAGCTCACCAGCTAGAGGAAGCATATCCACTGCCAAAGACAGGGACAGGGCTGCACCCACCTGACTCACAGCCCAGTATTCTGGGGGCTCAAGGTCGACTAGGGACTTCTGACTCACTGCCTCAGCAAAGCTACCCTGCCTTTTACACACCTGAGTCCCCACGGGTCCCCACACCGTACACAGAGAAGAGCTGCAGCTACCTTTAGGCCGATGTCGTGGGCTCTCGGGTTCATTTCTTCTGCTGCTGCGCTCCGAGCCTCCGTCTCGCTCTGATCTGCTGCTGTGCCTACCTCTCTCTCGCTCATCTGTGAAGTCACAGAGTTTAGAACCACGCGTCCCATTCTGATACACACCCATCTGCATGCTAGAGAAAGGGCAGGCCCCGCCTCCCTCACAGGTGCAAGCTGCACCGCTCTAATGTGGTCCATGAGTTCCCGAAACTCACAGATTCCCACTGTTTCAAGGGGAAAATAGTTACTGGCTAGAAAGTTTCAAACTCACAGTAAGAGTTACTTTCCTGCAAGAATTCAAAAGATCAACAGTTACAAGCCTATAGTGAATATCTGTGCAACAGTAACAAGCCTCTAAGATATAACTACTGAGCAAAGCCAGCGCTAGGTTTACGTCTAGCTTCCCTAGGTTTACGTCTAGCTTCGTTCCACAGCACTGTCCTTTCTCTGTTTTTGAGACAACGTCTCTGGTTTCTTATATTACTTCCTTGATCACCAATTTTCATAATAAAACAAGGACCACACACTTAAGCAAAGCAGCCATGTCACAAGCAACAGTTGTTTTTGGTGTGTTTTTGGTTTTTGGCTTTTTTGAGACAGGCTTTGCTATGTAGTCCAGACTGGCCACAAGCTTGCAGCAATTCTCCTGCCTCAGACTCCCAAGTGCTGGATTACAGGTGTGTGCCATCCACGCCCGGCTCAACAGTTCTTTTCTTTTTTTGGGGGGTACAAGGACTCGAACTCACAACCTCGTACTTGCCAGGCAGGTGCTGTGACACTAAGCTATATTCCCAGCTAAACAGCTCTTTTCTTAAACCGCTTGCTAGTCTCAGCGTTAAAAGGGTCAAAACCACTCAGACTGACATCGTACAAACCAAGTTCCCCAATTCAAGGGTTTTATGAAAGTTCCTGCAAATGGGAAAAGGCTGGCATGCTTATTCGGATGCTAACAGGCAACAGGAAGTATGCCAGACAGTCTACCTCTGTCTCTCTTGCGGTCATAATCTCGATCCCGCGATTTTTCCTTCTTCCGGTCCTTTTCTTCTTTGGATGATGCATAGACACCGTGTTCCCGCCGCTCCCTCTCTCTCTGCCGACTGCGTTCCCAAAATTCTTCACTCACACCCCCAGGATGAGAGGGAGTCTCTACCCGAGCAGATCGATAATGTCTGAAACAGGGACGGTGACAGGTAAAGGACCCTCCATACGAGAAAACTACTGCCTCCACCCCCCAGCTACACCAAACAAGTGATCTGTCCGTTCCCGTGGCGTCTCCCCATGGCCACAGGCTTATATCCATAGGGGCAACAACCCAAGGTACTTCTAACCTCATCACCTACTGTACTCCTTAGTCGTCCCTGAATTTTTCCCACAATTCTGAAGAAAATACTAATTCCTACCCACCATCAATATTACAGAATCATAATTAAATCATAAAGCTCTAAGCGTCCGATGGGAAAACTGAGAACTAAACATGGACTGTTATTTTCTGGGCTCCGCTTTTGCCCCCTCTGGGCCAATCTACCCGAAGGCCTTCACCTGTCTTTCCGGCCGTTTCGGCCAGCCTGCTCACCGCCCTCCTCCTCAGCATCCTTTTGGTCATCTCTGCTCTCCTCCCAGTCCTTGTAGGAAGAGACTCTGGACTTCTTCTTGTCCTCCCCATCATCCTTCTCCTCTCGCTCTTTCCTTTTCAAGGAAGCCAGTAAGTCCAGGCCCAGCAGTGAAGGGCGAGGGGCAGGGGCTTTGAACACATGCTGCTCACTGGCTGCACTTTTGGTCTTACAAATAAGACCGCCAACTTGAGAGTCCAGATCAGTGCCTTCTAATCGATGGATCGAGGCATCTTCAACGGTACCCTCCATCATAGGCTTTGGGATTTCTCTGGAAAGAAAGAAAACTACTTGGTATCGGACACACAAGAGAAGGCTTAGCTCTGTTATACCCCAAAATAACTACAGTTACAGATATACTTAGGTGATTAACCCTACCTCCCCATGCTGAGACTTTTTCTACCTCTTAGCAAGACCTTTCCATTCAATCACTGACAATCTCAGAAGATCCCATTCCCACCCAACACACACCAAAGATACAGACACACACGTACACACACACCCTAAAACACTGGGCTCCAAAAGACTATCACCCAGGCAAGAAAGAACTCACTATGGGCCACATACTACCACCATGATGGCATCTATAAAGGTAGTGTAGGAGAAGCTAGATTTAAAGTCAATAACCTCATCAGAATCCAGGCTCTTGACATTTTTACCTTTGTGATGGTAAGCAACTTAACCTTTGGTTAACCATATTTTTTTGTATCTGTAAAATGGAAATAATTTTTGCTTTATCTAATCTACGGAATTATTGTGAGAATCAAACAAGAAAGTGTATGTGAAAACACTCTGTAGCTGTGAAAAGTTTCAGTTTACTGTTACACCATTTTATTTGCTATGCTCCTCTATACTGATTGGATTCCTTGTCAACTTTTACAAGGTCTTCTACCTTGCCCTCCCTTTAAACAGATATAGCAGACTACATATGTGGGAATATAAAGATACTATCCACATCCTACATGCTTTAGTGGACCAGTAGTGTTCTGAAGGCACAAGTGTCTCACAACAGTCAAAATCAGCTTAACAATAATGTATATGCCTCGAAAATATTTATGAAAAATATCAAAACAGGAAACGGTGTTCCCAACAAAGATTTAAGAAACTGTAAGACTTCCTGGAGCTCAACTTGTAACAAATTCATCTTAACCTCCCACTGACAAGCATACACCTATGCTGATAATTTTGATAATTCCCCTCATTCCAACAAGTTAGTGAAGCAAAGAAATTTTTGAGGGGCAGGGTACTTCCTGAATCCAGAAATGTTTGCCAAGCTCCGCTTAACATGAACGGATCTACAAAAAGAGTACTGCAGGCATATCGTGGGAAACATAGTAGAAACAACAGTTTCATTTTGAAACGGTCATCGCAGGTGACATCCGTATGCACGTGAGGAAATCCAGGCAGAATGGCAGATATCCACTCTCCTCAGCAGTCATCTGAACTGGAAATTACATCCAAAGAATGCCATTCTATGCAAGCAAGTGAATGTTGTCCGTCTTGTTGACTGCCACAGCTCAGTACCTAGCAAAATTAATGTTTGGCAGATAAAGGAATGAATTCAAACTTACTAAAGACGAACAGGGAATCAAACATTTCTGGACCCAGCAGGAAAAAAATATCAACAAAACAGGACAAGGAGTCTGACAGAGAGGATTTAACTGGCTGCTAAGGACAAATAAGGAGCTAAGGGGCCTGGTTCTGGAAAAAGACTAATAGCAAAGCGACCACAGGAGTACAAGGAAAACGGAAGGAGAAACCTGGACTTGTTCGCTGAACAATTATTCACTGCCTCCGTGAGCCAACGGCTGTTCTCGACAATAAAGAAAAACAGACAAAAAAACCTCTGCCCTCGTGGAGATGACATTCTACTACTGATCACCCACCAGATCGCCTAGTGGAGATACCACCGTCAGGAAGAAGAAAAAGACGCGAGGAAACCTACTCAGGCGTGACGAAGGTCCGGGAGTGGGGCAGGGCGACCCGAGAGAGCATCCCCGGACCTCACTGAGGCCTCTCCAGACATCAAGATCTGAGCAGAGCAAGGAGAAAAGCGGGGGGAAACAGGATCGCTGCGGCATTCTTGAACTAAGTAAAGCAAATGGGGTGACCAGCACGGGAGGAACTTCCCAAGCCGAGGCCCGAACCTGACCTGGAGACCGAGATCTGTCGCCTGGAGCCGCCACGATCAGCGAAAGACAAGTCAGGAAGGAAGAAGGAACGCTCACCTCACCAAGCTCGACTCCTGGGACCCTTCTGTCCTGGAATCTGGGTGCCGGCGCCACCACCCCTGGGTCAGATGGCCTCAAAGAGCCAAATTCCGGTCCTTGAAGGCGGCCATCGTTGTCCCGTAATACTCTGCGCGGCCAACTCTATCCGTCCAAAAGTACCATCGAGAGCAGCCCGGAAAAAGACAGTTCCTGGATCCAAGTGTAGGACGGAACCCTAATAGTCTCTCAAAGCTACAGCGTCTTCCTCTGGGGCTCGGCTCTGACCTGAGACACTTCCGAGTCTCCTTGAGACCAATCACGCTTAGTCTAAGAGGCAAGCCCCCGCCTCTAGTCCGTGGGCGGGAGCCGACCAAAAGTAGGTCAGCCATATTTAACAAGGGCGGAAGAGACAACGGGCTTCCGGTCAGAGCCCGGCAAAGTAGGCGGTGCCTAAAATAACCTCTTAGGCTCATTGGACTGCGGAGTAGGACGTGCAGCTATACGTTGATTTCCTGCGTCCGCGCGTTTTCCATTTCCGTAAACGGGCCAAGAGATGGGTGCCCGACAACAGCCCTGGGTCGCTTTGGGTTAAACTCGCTCCGCAGCTTGGAAGGGAGAACGCGAGCTTGAGACGTACTGGCTGTTCAAGAAGGCTAACAGCCTTGAAGTGGAGGTGCCCTGGACGAGTAAAGTGTCGCTGTCCCCGGCAGTTGTGGGTCAGAGTAGCCCAGCCACAGGTACACTGTATCTTTAAAATATTCGGGTATTTTGGATACTAGAGACACGCGCCTCAAAGTAAACAAAAATCGCCCGTCTGTTCGAATGCAGAAATGTTCGCTGAGGATGTTTTGGGATCTTCTAGATTTTTTATGTAAATATGTACATGTACATTATAGTTAGGTTTTCTGCAAAACTGCTTTTGTGCCTTTATAAGTTTACTGTCATTTCATTCACCAGTCTCCTGTTGATGGTCATTTAGGTTTTTCCAGCTTTTCACTATTATAAATGTATTGAATATCTTAAATTCGTCAATCGTTGCTCATTTGTCCAGTTATTTATTAAGAATTCCTTCTCAGGCCGGGCGTGGTGGCGCACGCCTGTAATCCTAGCACTCGGGAGGCTGAGGCAGGAGGATCGTTGCGAGTTCGAGACCAGCCCTGGGCTGCAAAGTGAGCTCAGGGCCAGCCTGAACTGCATAGTGAGATCTTGTCTCAAACACACACACACACACACACACACAAAAGGAAAAAAAAATTCATTCTCAGAATGGAATTACCGGTCAAAGGGTATGTGAGTTTTCTTTCCAAAAAGGTTTGGGCCTTTCCGTTGCAGTAAGGACGAGGAATCCACACTCTTGCCATTATTGTGTATTACTGTAGTGTTTAATCTTTGTCTATTTAATGGGTTTATAAACATATCTTTTAATTTGCCTTTCTTTGCTTGCTTGGAAAGCTTACCTTTCCAAATATATTTACTTTCCCTTTGTACCTCTTCTGTGAATTCTCCATGGATATCTTTTGCTATGGACATTTTCTCAGCGATGGCCTCAGTTTCCAACTCCTATATTTGTCCACTGTGGCCCTCCTGTTGACACCGTTGCCCTCTCCTTACATCCTCCTCTCTATCAGTGAACTAGAGGAGGTGCCATTTGAATTCTTGTGATGAGACATATCCGTGTTCTCTGAGTTTCTTTTTGATCAGTAATCTGTTCTGCCGCGCATGTTTGATGACGTCTCCTTGACAGTCAGCTTTCCTGTTTCAACTGTGACCTCTTGCTGGAACAACTTCATTTCCTTACAAGTTGTTATCAATTTATAACTTAAGGAACTCTCCCTTTTTGTCCCATTCCCCAACATTAGACCTGAATTCAAAGTATCAAAGGTGGGGTCTCTCCTGGATGCCCGGTTAATAAGCCCTTTGATCAAGGAGCTTCTCAAATATGAAATTTCTTCCAGTCGTAACATTAGGAGCTGGACTCCTACTTTAGAAGTAGCAGTAGACTAGAAATTTGTGGCCTAGACTCCAGTAGTCCTTGTCTTGTAGCTACAAGTCTACCTGTGAGCAGTCTAGCTTATAAAGTGAGAGTCCGGCACCAAAAAGAAAAAAGAAAGAGGAATTGATTAGTTTTCACATACTTTTCATATTGTAATGAAAACCAAATCCAGGGCCTTCACACTGAGCCACACTTCACAAAGAGCCCAGCTCTTTTTTTTTTTTATTTTGACACAAGATCTTGCTAAGTCTCTAAGTTGCCCAGCCTGGGCTTAAACTTATGATTCTCTTGCTTCAGGCTTCCAGAGTGTCACACATACCAGTAATTCAACTGTTTGTTAGGTGATAAGATGGACCTTGTCAGGTATGCACCAAGACTCTCTAAACCAGGATCTGTGATAATACAAACATCTGTCAGTAAAAGACTTTAAGAGTGTGGTAATACATGAAATAGTATGCTGCTCTGAAAGAAATCTCGAAGTTTTGTATATAGAGATATGGGTAGATCTTCATGTAGTGACTTAAAAAATACAAAGTGCAGAAAGTAGACAAAGTCTGTGTGCTGAACTTCTGCCATTCCTCCGGCGGAGCCTCTCTTCCTCCTCTAGACTTCGCTGGGACCTCTGGCTTCAGTCAGAGTTAGGGAGAAGGTTACCGGAAGAGGGGAAAGTAGCTACATCCCTTAGCTGCAAGCTGACCTCATGTACAGTGCCCTCCGCTCAGCTCTGTCCACCACAGCTCTGACAGCTACCTGGGGGTGGGTTCAGTGCCCCATTACTGGCTTTGCTTTGTTTTCCTTCACCTGGCCTTAATTAAACTCTTCAAATTACCAAATTTGAGCGAGTCATTTCTTCCCTGCTGAACCACTAACACAACAGGCCGTCCCTTGGGTAAAATGAAACAAAAAATATGCAGACACATTTATATTTCTTGTGACTATCAAAACTGTGGAAAATACTTGGGAAAATCAATGAAAGCGGTCACAGGCTGTGTGGGGCGGAGGGAACAGTGGGAACTGGGCCTGAAGTGGGAGAAAATGTGATATACCTCGGTATAGCTGTAGTGGTCCTTCTTAAAGTACTTGAATACATTACTTACTCTGCATTTTAGGTATTTTTAAATTAGGGTCAGGCACTTAGTCTAAACTGTCTTTAAACATTGCAGCTGTGTTCCAGGAGAGATTGTGGACTTGGATTATTTGAACATTTGCATTATTTGAAGATGAGCTTCCTGTTGCCCAAACTGACTAGCAAAAAAGAAGTAGACCAGGCAATAAAATGTACTGCTGAGAAAGTGTTGGTTCTCAGGTTTGGGAGAGACGAGGATCCTGTCTGTCTGCAGCTGGATGATATTGTAAGTGAATTTTTTTTTTTTTTTTTTTTTTTGGTCTTTTTAATACAGGGTCTCGCTGTGCAGTTCATGCTGGCCTTGAGCTCACTTTGTATCCCAGGCTGGTCTCGAACTTGCAACCATCCTCCTGCCTCAGCCTCCCGAGTGCTGGGATTACAGGTGTGCGCCACCACGCCCGGCTGTGAATTTTTTAATAAATGATTTTTATTTAAAATCTACATAATCTCACTTCAATGTTTGCAAAATACGTGGAAAGGAATGGGCAGGGTGTGAGTGCAGGTGTTCATTATTTTCAATAACCTGATCACTTGCCTGCCCTGAGCTGAACCCCCCAAATTGTGATTGTGCTAAATCTGTCCTGATGTCCTTCCCCACTAGCTGAGCAGAAAACCTTATTACCAAGTGTCCGTGAACATTACCTTTTTAGTCCTCACCACAGCATTCCCATTCCCAGTGGCAGGAGTAAACGCGGGAAGAGTGAGGGGGCCTCCCCTGCCCAGGTACATCAAACTGCGGAGCTGGGATGTGAACTCACCCTTCTCTGTCTGCCAATGCCTCGCTTGTGTGCTCCCGCACAATGTGCCGATGGTAGTTTCTGATGTCGCAGCCTATCTCCACATTGTGATCAGTAAGGAGGAAGACTACAGGACAGAGTGGGTGTATTCTTGTCTGTTTGTCATAGCTGGAGACTTAACCAACGACTGAGGTCTTTTCACACCATTTCTGTCACTGCCATCCACTGTGGGATGAAGCCTAAGAATCCTCGGTGTGTGACTAAAACGTGAATGTGTGATGTGTTAACCTGGGGGA